GGAGACGAATGAGAGAGTGTTGAATGAGAGGAGGTAGACATGGTTAGCAGTGGAAGCTGGAAGTTTGTGAATCAACCTGCTCTGATACCATGAAATGATTATACCAACCACACAACTCTCGATAGAGAGCAGTTCTATTTATATTGAGATTGATTCAACTGATTACATAGAAAAACATGGTTCCATTATCACCACGATCCTATTTCTAAGGACCAACTGGTGCATTATCTTACTCCACTTACATAACAGTTATTTGACTAATTCTAACATACCCCATATCACTAGAGACTTTAAATTGAAGCATTTACACAGGAAAAATACTGATGCTGCCAAAACGATTGAACAGCATTACTGTTATATTTGGTTCAATTCTCATTTCATTCCTCCTCAGTTCGCACCATTAATTTCCTGACCCTCAACTTAAATTTCTAGACATGAAATCTAGTTCCTACTTTAATTTATTGAAACTGCATTTTCAAGTCCCAAAAATTCAAGGTGGGAATAGGGGTTGGTTGGAGGTGGAGGCAAGATCATACATGTGCATCATGCTCTAATTCTACATGTAAGGACTAATATAAAAATCAGAGGTAGAAATTAAGGAAGAATGAAACGAATTGAATCAAAAGCAGTGTATATGTAGTAGATAACTATGACAATAAACCAATGAGTTCTAAATGTTTCATGATGGATTATTAAGTACATTAGTATTGAAACAATTTTTTTTTTTTTTTTAAGTAGATAACTATGACAATAAACCAATGAGTTCTAAATGTTTCATGATGGATTATTAAGTACATTAGTATTGAAACAATTTTGTTTTTTTTTTAAAAAAAAAAACAAAATATTGACACCTTATTCATGAATTGAACAAATTAAAAAGCTGCATGAGATGTGTAAATACCCTGATTAGCCTGTACTTGGGCTCGTATTTCTTGGCGCTCTCAACTGAATCATAAATAAGACCGAACCCAGTAGACTTCCCACCTCCAAAATGAGTACGGAATTTGAATACAAATATGGAATTAGGATCTTTGACTTCATACATCCTCGCCAGTTTCTCCTTCAGTTCAGCCTTCATCGTCACAGGCACCAAATATGAGACACAGTAAATTACATACCTGAGCAACAAAAAAGGCACTAAGGAGAAACTTATGTTACCTTCGACACATTAGGTCTCCCAGGATGCAGGACATCAATGACCTATGCGGAATCAAACAGACGCTTATCACATAAGCTACAAAAAATTTCTTATGTGCTACATTGTTAGTTCACAAAAATGTCAAGAAGACAGAAAGTGGATCACAATCAGACTTGAACTTTTAAATGAAATACTATTCAGATTTCTCATAACGGCGTCCAAGCTCAATTCATGGTGGCTTATATTTTTACCAGGTTCAGGCCCAGGTCCCAGGCGAATAGGAATATATATAGAACGCAATCAAACTACAGATAAAAAGGCAAGAGAACAGAGAACGCACAAATTGCTTTCTCGATAGAAGCCTGTTGGTCATGAACTTCCTCGTCCTAATTGTCACAGCCTTTTCCGCCATTCTGCCAGATAAAAGAAGCTCCTTATTAAACGCTAATATAGATAATCACCTTAATAGTAATGTAGAAGTTTACTACGAAGATGGGCAACTTATGCAGATAGGGTTTTTCTGCAGAAACACTTCTTTGATTAACACCGGTGCCGATTGGAGAGAGGCTGCCGGCTGCCGGCTGCGATTAGGCAAGGAGCGAAAACTGCGACGTTATTGTAGTAATCGACTTAGCTTCTTGTTTTGTAGGGTTTATGAATCGTCAAATAGCTTAGCTCCTGTTTGGACGCTGGTTAGAGCATGCTCTTAGTACGGAGCAGGAGTATCTAGCTCTCGATTATGATAATTAAGTAGCCAAGCAGGCCCAAAAGAAGATGAATTCATTCTCAGATATGGGCTTCCTCTCTACCCTCAAACTTCAGGCCTAACGTTTTGAAAAGAAATTTATGTCGCTGGTCAGGTTTTTCGTCAATTAGAAAAGATTTATGGTTTATTTTTTATAAAATAAATATTATGTGAGAAAACTGTTACATTATTTGATTTGTTGAATTATAATTATAATAATTATGAAATAATTACGTCATTTTTCAAGTAATTAATGAAATGATTTACTAAGTTCATCAATTCATAACATTGAAAGACTTTTACAAATTTAATTCTCAAAATTTTTTTATTTTTAATTTATCTTAAAAACATTCAGTACATAATTTATTTTAGAGATGAATAGTGTTCTCGCCGTCTAAATCATAAATAAAATTCTCAACAAAGAAATAATTTCTATCAATGCTAATTCTGATATGATTCTGATTATTAAAGTGTGGTTTATAAAAAATTGAAATGTCAAGATACAACATGTTTATCGTAAAAGAAATTGTTATACAAACAAACTAATTGGCGAATTAGATATTTTTCTAACTTCCGAAACTCTCACATTCAACGTCCTTCTATGCAGATTACGAACATCATAAAAGATGACCTCATTGAAGTTTCTTAATTTAAAATGTGTAATACTTAAACGTATATTTTCTGTGTGGTTATGCTTGTTTCTTCTCCTTTGTAATTTGAATTAAAAAAAAAAAAAAAGTCGAAACAAATTTGGTTATTGTATGCAAATTCATATAGCACTCAAGACACGCTTGTGTTATCAAATCAAGTGCAATAAGTGTCTATGTCGAGATGGGATCAGAACAAATTAGCTCCAAGTTATTTAATTAGTGGTGGTGTGAGAAACCGAAATATGATTAAATTTGGTTTCTTCCTATTTTGTGGTCTTAAAGCACACCAGTATGAAACACACAAAGGAATCTGACTACGTGTGATTGTATGTATTGCCCCAACTTTTCCATCTCACATGCACCTCATTCATCCATATTGCACATACCTATAATTATTAACTGTAAGAAAAAAAGAAAAAACTCATTAAACTAAGGTCACCTTCGAAATTTCTCACTATATTTTTGTTAATTTTATATTAGTTATGATTATAATATATGTTATTTTGGGTAAAAATTTATACATTTCAAGATAACAAATGTACATTATTAACAATATAAAGATAACCAACCATTTTGTCGTATAATATTTAGTGCCATGCATCTTCCGTTTTCTCATCTGGTCGTGCATGGAAGTAATGGCTGAACTGATTCCATGGGGTTTCTTCAAAACTTTTAGCCGCACTTGTTGATTTCTCGATCCATTAACGAATATGTCCACAGATAATGATATAAGTCAACCGGTATAGCTCCACATCGTGCTACGAAATTTTATCCCTATCAAGTTGGCAACTTGGGTTGTAGACGCAGGAAAATTCCCATCCCTGATGGTGCATTGAAAGTTGAAATTCCCTTGCCTTCTTGGTCCACTTTATATCCAGTCTGCCACACAGTAAAAAAGTCTCTGAGGAAGAAACAAGAGTAATCAGTAACTAGAATGGAGCCATAAACAGCCATTGGCAGGGAGCAAGTAGACTTTTTTTATGGCTGTTAACATCTACGGAGGTTGTTTACACTATTCATTTACGAACATACATTTGTACTTCTTTTCTGTTTCTCTCTCTCTCTCTTTCTATTAATCCAGTGAGGATGGGAGTTTCATAAGAATCTCCTCTCTTTTTGCCGCTTGAGATTAATTTTTGAAAGCTTCCTTCACTTTGGAGTTAAGGGTATGTGCTGTTTTAGTTTTATGTGATCAGCCAAGTTAGACTTCGTTTATTAGAGGCAGGAGTGCCTAGAAACTTTTAAAAGGAAAAAAAACAACGTTCATCACCTTCACTTTCCCTTGTCAATAAGGACTTATTTTATGGCTGTTAACATCTCTACCGAGTCGACTGGGAGCGAGGTTGCCCTGTGAAGAGACTGTGGAAGGAAACTTCCTGTATAGAAGCTCTTAGCAGTAACCATTCCTTCAGGGCTGAATGATTCATCACTTGCCTCAAAATTCTTGACAATTTGGTTTTTAGCATTGTCAGCTTCGGTAGGAAAGTGTGAAGTGAAATTCTCTCTGGAGGACAGTGATCTTGTTACAGCTCCATTGGTTCCTCTCTTTAGCTTGGGTAGAAAAGAAGACAAAGAAGCTTTGTCGTCTTTCTTGGGATCTGAATTATCAAAACTTGGGGTTAAATTTAAACCCATTTTGGATATGGTTCCTAATTGCTGGTCCCTAAGCTCCCTCAACTGCATTTGATACTTTGCTTTGAGCCATCTTAGTTCTTGCCTAATTTCATTCTCATAATCATCAAACAAAGCAGAATCCACAGAAGGGTTGGCACAGGAGCTTGTAGCATTGGATTGGCTTTGAGTGTCCATATCAATAATCTTCTCCTCTTTTTCAATGGATTGATTGAGAATCTCACTGCCGTTATCACAATGAACGTCTCTTGAACCTGGTGAATTTGATTCTGGTCCATCTCTCTGAGCCCAGATGTCGGCATAATGAATGCTGTCTGCTTGGGTTAATGCAGGCACTGCAACTTCTGGAACACATTGTTCTAGCCCTTCTACTTGGTACGTGATCTCCTCGAAACGCCCATGAACAACTGTACATCCATGTTTAGAACAGTGAAGAACCTGGAGGTTGTTTACACCTTGATTTTTGGGCGATGCATAATCCATGAGATAACCATTTGAACCACATTTTTGACAGAAACTTGGACTTGTGCAGTCTAAACCTTCTTCTTCCATTTCTTGTTTCCTTTTCCATTCTGGCACCAATGAAGCAATTTCACCATCAATCATATCTGCTATTTTCATCACATCTTGGTCACTGATGTCAAGCTCGGATACCATTTCAGTAGCAACGCTTAATGCTGTGTCATTCTCAATGTCAAATGGGAAGTAAATGTTCCTAATGCGACCTGCAAAATAAAAATTGAATCTTTAGCTTTTTGTTCAGCATTTACTTTATACCAAACAATTCTAGTGGGAATGGAACTATTGAAGCACAAGAATGAGGAACCAAACCTTCTTTATCTGCAATTCTGAGCCTTAAGAAGATTCCATCATCTTCTCTTCTTTTTCCTTCGATTGTGACATCAACATTTGTCATCTGCTCGTCCTCTTGGCTAGTGAAGAGATCGATTTCACTCATTTGAGGCTCAACTGGATCGTAATATAAATTATTTCCAGCATCATAAGGAAGGTAATTTGAGTACACATCGAACAAAGAGGTGTTGCAATGATGTGTTCCATTAAGAGGTTGTCTTAGGAATGGCCCAGGTTCTTCATAGTCTTTATAATAATCAATTGGCCTCAAATCAAATCCATAATCATCGATTTGGAGAAAATGGTCCTTCAAAAGCTCTCTAGCAGAAAACCTACAAGACACGGTCGCTAAGCATTTCTCAACAAATTGTCGAACCTCGGGGTCCTTTACTTTGTACAGAGCTTCTGGTTTTTTCCCCTATACAGAAAGGAAATATGTCAATCAAGTGAAAAAAAAAAATGACAGTGAAGAAACTGATGGAGAAGATAAAAAGTTAAAAAAGCTTTTATGGGCTCCTACAGAGATGACTTTCTTGTATATTTGAGCAGGATGGGTGCATTCACTGTAGGGATATTCAAAAGTGACCATCTCCAATATGCACATTCCAAATGAATATATGTCAACTAATTCATTGTATTCCTCTTCGTACACCTCAGGAGCCATGAATTCTGGTGTGCCTGAGAATGAGAAACCCAAAACTTAATAATATGACACTTCGGGATTTTTAAGCCTTACTTTGATTCAGAGAAAAAAAAAAAAAAAAAACTAGCCAAACCAGCTATGAAGTACAAATCAATTTATAGAATTTTCGTACTCTAAAAACCAATCAGGACTTGAATTAGGCTAAAGTTTTTCAATATGGGAACTTACCCACACAACGAGCAGCATGAGATTTTCTGAGAATTGCAGCAAGACCAAGATCACCAATTTTGACTTGGCCTTGGTTGCCATTGATGAAAATATTATCACACTTGAGGTCTCTGTGGATCACAAGAGGATCATGGGTGTGGAGATACAGAAGCCCATTCAAAATCTGCGTACACCAATGCTTCACAGCTCTAATATTTACTCTTTTATGTTTTAACCTATACCTGCAGATATTAAAAAGAAAAATGGAAGGAGTAATGAACACATAGGAAAATACAGAGCCCACAAAAATCTAATTGAAGGAATGTATATACAGCTGCTTACTGTCTGAGAGTTCCCGAGGTGAACATTTCAGTGACAAAGTTAATATTCCTGTTGGTAGTATCAACCCAAGAAGTACAGAACTTCATAATATTTTCATGTTTCAAGGTCTTGAGCAGATGTATTTCACGGTAAAGTCTCTCAAGATCCTCTGGATTTTGCAGGAAATCATAAAGCTTCACCTGATTCCAAGCCACCTCAAGTCCTTCATACTCGTCAAAGGCTTTATAGCTGCAACAATCAATACAACCCAATAAAAAAGCTTGTTCATTTCACTGGAAACTTACGAGATGTGAGCTAAAAAACAAGACAAATAAATAACCATTCCATCACAACCGTCATTTTATAAACAAGAAAGCTCAGAGAGATAAGGCTGAATACACTGTCTTTGAAGAACCTTTGCCAAGAATTTCATCGTACTGCAACAAGAAGGGAAACAGTAAACTCAAAAGTTATACTGAGAAGAAAGAAAAGACCAAGAAATAGAAACTACAAACTATATACCCTTCCATATCTGCCTGTAGGATCAACTTCCACGAACTCAGAATAATCATCTTCAAAGCTTGTATCACCATTCATTGTTTTCCTCGTCCAAAATACTGTTATTTGAAATTTTCTATTACTAGTCTACAATGTTTCCAGTTTCTACACGAGAGAGAAAAAGGAAGAGAGAGGAAGAGATAATCAGAAGGCTGAAAAAAACATTAAATAAGAGAAGAAATAAGAGGTAGTAATCAATGCAGAAATTTGTAAGTTCGTGAAGGGGAAAAAGAAAAAAAAATTGTGAGGGAGTGGTTCAAAAGAACAAAGTTAAATTTCCAACAACCCAGAGACAAGAAGCCAAAGATTTCACAAGGTTTCTTCTTCACACCCATATTCCATTACAAGACAGAAGTCCCTCTCGTTTTCAACTCCTCTCTCTCTCCCCCGTTTCTTTCAACCTCTTCACGGGCTGTAAATAAACCCACACACTCGTACCCACAGCATTTATATAGCTCTCTCTCTCTCTCTCTCTCTCTCCATTCATCTATGGGCCTGCAACAGTTTGGGAAGACATGGACCAATCAAAGAATTAGGCTTTTCTTATTAAATTTCAATGTTTAAGTTGCTTTATTGGACAAGTGGGTGCATATTTTTCTTTTTATTTTTCTTTCTTTTGTTCTCTCTTCATTTTTACCAGGAGGGTTCTGAATGGAGATTTACTTTTGTTGCATCATGAAGGCCATGTGAAAAAGAAAAGCTTTTAGAGAAGTTGACTTGGTATTGTATTTCATTTTCATTCCTTTTTCGGAAACTCTCATAACTTCCTTTGTTTTCATCAGATAAAAATAATAAAGTTAAATCGGCCAGCTGCTCCTATGTTGAGAAAAAAACTTAAAGATAGTCTCACGTGTTTCCAAGTTCATGCTTATAAGGGTTATGCTAACATTCAAATAAGTTAAGAGAAATAATAAATGTTTATGGAGATCGTGATATATTGCCTATATATAAATATATAGAGAATGAATGCTTAACTGGACAATGTTTATAACATTATAATTATATATTAAATTAAGTAATAACTAGTAGTAAAAGCTGATGGTAGAGAAATGTTATTAATTTAGTAGATTCAAATGTCTCTTTATTGTCTATGCTTGTATTTTAGACATAAGCTAATTAACCTACGTTAAAATTTCTTTCGTTAAGATCAATTATATTAATTTATCATCTTTTTAGAAAATAATTCTTATATCCATTCTTGATACGAGAATAGTCGAATTTGTTAACCCTTAATAAGTATAGATGACTAAAATAATGATTTGGTTCATGTATTATTTACTTTAATTAAAATTAGTTTTAATCTTAAATTTTGATCAGATTAATCACTATACTTTTAAAAGTTGTCATTTAATCATTCTCCATTGATAGAAATTTACATAATCAACTTAGATATTATATGTCAAATATATTAACATGTTATACTTTTTGATTGGTCAAAATGTTACTTGAATGATAAGTTAGATGCCACATGACATCTGATGTGATATCAAAAATTTTAAATGATTGATACACAAATAAAATTTTAGATTAGTTTGAATCGGTTTAAGATTAAAAAAAAAAACAGATCCTTAATTCTCTAGATCCCTAAACTCGAAGTCTTCTTATTTTTTTTTCCATGCTTCCTCTTCCCCCCTCAAATCTCTATCGCATAAGGTTTCATTTGAAGGTGGGGATGGACCCTTTGCTTCTAATAAATATTGGAGGCTAACACTTCGTTGAATTGGAGCTACAGGTTCATAAAGAAAAAAGAGGAAGCTTTTACAATAGTAGAGGTAACCACCATTTAAAGAAGTTAAATTGTGAAGGCAAAAGAAACAAAAATCGTGAGGAAGCTAAAGATGCTAAAAACATGAGTGATGGGAAGTTGAGCGTGCTGAAGAAATTCAATACTAATGCAGCTAAAAAGGCGATAGGGTATTTTATTTCCAAGAAAGAGTAAATTAAGGGCAAAATTGAGAAGACTGGAGGCCATCAAGGTTCTTAAACTCACTAGCTTACTCGTCTTTCATATTATTAAAAGATATATGTGCATATCTAGACATAAACATATATTTATGTACAAGGGACGTTAAAAGTAGAGGAACTAAAGATTCAAGGCAAGAAGGTTAAAGATAAAAGTGACTAAAACTCCCAAGAGAAAGTACATGGTAACTGAAAGTTATACACACGTGTGTGTATATATAAATTGATTATTATTATTATTAATATAGATATTAATAATGTTGCATGTGACTTGAAGCTTTATGTTTATAGAGAGAAAAAAAGAAGTTTTTACAATTGTGGAGGCGACTATCATTCGCTAGAAGTGAAAGATGCATCCTTGTCTTTGAAGAAGACCTTGCACGACAAATATGGGGGGAGAATGGGAGGAAAAAGCAGAAAAAAAAGGTTTTAGGTTTGGAGATATAGAAAATTAAGGATTTGATTGTTCTTTTTTTATTTTAATCTGATCGAAATTGATCCATAATTGTATTTGAGGACCAGTCTGAATCGAGATATATATATATATATATTAATATCAAGTTAAATGTCATGTGGTAACTGATGTGATATTCAACTAATACTTAAATCAATCAGAAGATATTGCATGTCAATAAAAATGATACATGACGTCTAATTTAACGATATTAATGTCTATTAACAGAAAATAACTAAATAATTTAAAAAAAAAATACAAAGAGTAATTTGATAAAAACTTGAAACAATAACTAATTTAAAAAAATAAATAAAATATAGACCAAATCATTTAAAGACAATCATGTTTGACTACTTTGGTGGCGAGGTAGAGTCCGATTATTGGAGGAGTTAATTGGACATTTGCTATTTTTAAGCTAAAATTAATTTTATCTTATAGATAAAATTCTCATCCGTTTATGTTAAGAACTAAAAAACTTTGAGAATTTTGTTTCAAGCGCCAAAGAAAAAGAATGATTAAGAGTATTTATAATGTTTTTCTTATGAGTTTTGTGTCGTAATAGAAAGTTAAGAGCATTTCAATTCACTTTTAAAATATGGTGATTTATGGATCTACTTTATAATATGGTTTTGGGCTTTCCCCTCATCAGAGAGTCATTTATGTACTCAAGTACCTCAACATAATATACCTTCTCAAGTTATCCCTCATGTTTGGAAGTATTTGACGAGGTTCATGGTTTTCTACCATAGAATTGATATAATTCCCATAAAATGAGCTTTTCTAATTCTTTATTTATCCTAGATATAACAAAGGTTGGTTATCTCTCACACCTTAATTGAGTGGGAAATTAATACTTGATGTTCACAGCCATGATTATAAATATTTATAGTAGATTTTTTTATTACTTTGCGGTCTGACTTTTTTTACATGAAATGACAAATAATTGTACATTGAGTTAAGTTAAAGAAATGACCAACATCTTCTAAAAAGAATCTTGAAAAATGTCATGGTTGCTATTGAGTAGAGCATAAAAATATTAACCACTAGATTAATGTATTGAGGGTTGAGGTATTAATAACTTTTTTTGATATGGACATTTTTAAATTTATTATCTAGACCAAACTTTTTATTTTTCAAATAGAAGAATAATAGAAACACAAAAAATAATTCTATTAAGTAACAAATTCTATAAAAGTTTTATTTAAGATATTTTCTTTTCAGGTAAAAACTAATAGAATACATAGTTGTTATTATGTACTCAGTAGTGACATCTCTAAATTCTAAATTTTTCATTGAAATATAAAATAATCTCTCAATAATTTCTTTTTTAAAATAAAGAATAATTGTTTTTTTATAAGGCTCAACGTAGATGGAGGTATACTTCTATGTGTTAACATTCTACAACAATTAAATTCTCTTATTTAGAGTAGACACAATAAATTAAAATCTAATATAATTTTTTTTATCAAAAAATATTTTCTTTTAGAAGAGGATAAATAATTTTAATTCGTACTTATACATTCTTAACAAAATATGTAAAAATAAGTAAAGAGAATTTCACATATATTTATTGCATAAAAGAGAATATTTATCATGTGGTTCCCTAAACTTGCATATCGAGAGATGATAAGACGCTTGACAAGTTAACTTGAACTAATTTCAGTGACGATAAGGTTAATGCGCATACTGTTTTAAGTATATTAAATAAGAGGATGACCCCTGACCTAGTAGGCACTGAAAGATTATTTGGACCCTCATAGTCCTTGAGAGACTGTAACATTTTATATGCCTTTTAGCATTCAGAAGTATCCTCAGTCGAGATGCCACGATGGCAGCGAGAATCACCCATGCATATAGAGACTATCCAATCCCTAAATAGGTATAGGATGAACCTATTGATAATAGATTCACATATGAGTTTTTTCTATTTCTCTTAATAGGTGGATCACTTGAAACCTAATGAAAAAACTAGTACTTAAAAAATTGTGTACTAAAAGCAATCTTCTTAATTATTGCTTGAATATTTGGCGTAAGAGGAAAAAGTTCGTGCTCGATAATGTAAATTCATTTAGGATACCTTCTATTGCTGAGATTTCTAACCTTGCAATGGATTTCTATTTGGCTCATCAACATATTAACATTAGTCCTGAAGTCGGGGGTTGCCATCATGGCCATGAGATGGGGTGGGTTGCCTTGTCAGACAATTGGTTCCAACTAAACATGGATGGCTTTATTAGTGACCCTGATGATGCATCTATTAGTGAGTTAATTTAGGATAGTTATGACAATTAGGTGGAATGGTTCGTGCATCATCTTGAACAGAATGATACTTTTATTGTTGAGGCCATTGAGGTTATTGAAGAAGCTGATCCTTTGAGATGAGCTTTCCTTTCATTCTCAACTATTTGTAGTATTTGAATAGTCTTAGCTCATTGACCAAATATGTTGACCACTAACTTAGAGAACTTTTATATCATGATTGAAACATATTTAATATTACATATTTTGTGGAAAGTGAATATTTATGTTAATCAACTAGCTACTGGGTACATAACATGGATGAGAATCTTGTAAGACTTAATGAAGCCTTAAGAGCACTTCACTAGTATTTTCATTTAGATTTTTGTGATACCGCGTAAGTTAGACTTAATATTTAAAACTCGTAATATATTTTTTTTTTTTTAGGTGAAAAAAAAAAGGAACAAAAAATTTATTATTCTTAAGGATGAATTATTCTAAATGGTGGTAAGTAATTTCATTCTTTAATATAAAGATATTAATTTAAGTGCTGACTGTATGGCAGTGTGTCCTGTTAATTTTTATTAGAGAATTGTCTCATTAGTGACATGGACTTTATATTAATTAATGAAAGGTAACGAATATCTATTTTTTTAACATCTAAAAAGTAAAGCTATTGGCTCCATCCAAGCCAATAATTAGGAGTAGCGTGGCGGCAGTCCCGCAGGTGTCTGCAACCAATTTTCTTCCTCTCCAAAGCTCCAAAACCATCGGCTTCACTCCTGAATTTCAATATCTTTTCTTCGATCTTGTTTCTTTAGATATCATCAAGTTGGAAGAAATGGAACTCAACAGTGGGTTTGTTACCTCCGGCGAAAAACCCACGATCATGGTCACAAATGACGATGGCATCGACGCGCCTGGTCTGCGATCTCTTGTTCGTGTCCTCCTGGCCACCAAGCTCTACGTCGTCCATGTATGCGCCCCTGATTCGTACGTCATATTACCACATATACAGCTAATCAGTTTAATTCGGAGACTCATATCTTTAGAGGCATTATTTCTGATGCTTTCTTTCCAATTTAATCTGCTTCCATGAGTTTGAAAATGAATTCTATGTGCAGTGTACGAGTGGCTGCTCGTTGGTTTTTTTGCATAGTTTTTAGCTCATTCGAAAATTTGCGGCCCAGATCATGTTTTGTCTACTACGAAAAATTTCTAGGGAATTTTTCTATTTTGCAATTGAGTTCTACAATTCAAATGTGTAATTTGTAGAATAGTCTTATCATAGGCAGTGTATTTATGGCCAAAAAATTGTGTTGTGATTCTAATGGATTTTAATGCAGCGAGAAGTCAGCTGTTAGTCATAGCATCACTTGGCGTCACCCCCTCTCTGCCAAACGAGTGGATATTGAGGGAGCAACGGCATATGCTGTTTCTGGTTTGTTGTTTTTTATTCCTCATCAAATCATTTTTATGCAGTAACTTTGCTAAATCCTATGTCAAACTCTTTTTTTTAGGTAGAGCAATCACACAATCTGCTTGGAAAAGAATAGCTTTCCCTAGTTTTTGGTAGAGCAACTTAATACTTCTTCAAACTTCAATACTAGTTTTAATCATATTTGGACTCACTAGATACATATCCTTTAGTAAGTTAGACTGTTACTCTTTCTTCACCCTAATTGTTTCCCTTGTTCCGAAAAATACAAAAATTATATTTGAAATGCTTTCTCATATTGTTTGATGTGGGAAATGAACATTTTGATTCTATTTAGATTGTATATGGAACCAACTGTTTAATTCTCATTGACTGTGAATCATCTCAACACAGAAAAATAATAGAAAAAAGCTAAGGTATGAATTGTTCCAGAATCCAGATTATGCTTTTCTCAGGAGTGTTTTGATTATTGACCACCATATTCAATATTTTTCTTTTTTTTTTCCTCCGAGGAACAAATTTTTTCCTTTTCTTTTTCTAGAGAAAACAACTTCTTAAAATATTTATTCTCAACTTCCTGTCATCATCTTCAATAATTAATGCTACTTGATCTTAAGATGTTTTCCCCTAAAAGTAATTTTTGGTTGTGTATATCATGCAGGAACTCCAGCAGATTGTACATCTTTGGGTATTTCAGAAGCACTGTTTCCATCTGTTCCTGATCTGGTAGCTGTCACTGTTACATGTGCTTATGAAATGTTACTTTTTCCAATTTTCTGTAGAATGCTTTACCAAAAAACTTGAGGCTGGGTTGGAATGAATGAGCAAACTGACTTCATTTCATCTGTACCTGAATTGAACAAGAAATTCATTTGCAAAATTAATTTTGGTGTTTGAAATAAAGTATGATACTTTAAGATGTTTTCTGGAATTTAATTGAATCATTATATTTGAGAAAACATAAAAAGGAATGGGAAATGCACTTGAGCTTCTTTTCAGAAGTAGCGTATTTTGTGGAATTGGTGGACCTTTTCAATTCCATATGGTTTCGTTTTTAAAATTTTACATTTTGTGGAATAACTCTAAATATAAAAATGAAGATTTCAAATTGCCTGATCTCTTCTCGACGTCTAAGATAGTCTAGGTAACATCTCTCCCTGTGATCCCATAACAAGGATATTTCATCCCCAACTGTTATATTTCTAGATTGGTTCAAACACCTCAAATGAGATATATCAATAACATTTTTAATGACAGTACCATTAATGTCTTCTCAGTACAGGGAATTTTTCCATTTTATGTTGTTTGTGGGTTCTGAGAAACTTCTTCCTGGGGAAAATGATTCTGTAAACTTATTTTCTTCCTTTCAATTTATGCTGACATGTCTGGTAAATTAACTGTTAAAAAAATCTGTATTCTGAGATGTTAATTTACATCCTATTCTGGACAGGTTATCAGTGGGATAAACATGGGTAACAACTGTGGTTATCACATGTTAGTAGCCCTTTCTCTTTTCCTTCTGTATATTAGTTATTTTACAGCTGTTCTGGATCCTGGAGCTATGAAGTCTTGTGTCCTTATTTAATCACAGAAGTGGAGATTTTTGCATGGGATAGATAAAAGAAGCAAAACTACCAACTGCATTTTCTATATTACATTAGAAATTTATGTTATTCAAATATTTTCTGAATGACTGGATTTGGATACTCGAGAATTTAGAACATTCTATATTATATTATATAATATGAGTCGATTTGTGATTGCTTAAAGGTACCAAAGAGTGATCTTGATTTATTTCAAAAGAAAAAAAGCTAGAGGGTGATCTTTATCTTCATATAAGGAAAAAGTGGTATACTATGTAAGAGGCAATCTACTGGCAGTAGATTTAGAGTCATGCAATCATGATGTTTTTTTTTTTGGCTTCCAAAGCCATTGAAAAAGAATGAGTTATCTTGTTTTCAAAAGATAAAGAGATTCTTTAAATAATTATTTGGAGAAGGCCTACTCTTGGATTTTGATGTTATCAGAAAAGCAGCTGCATGGGTAGGCAATGAACTGTATATTTCCTAAGATATTCTTTATTGGTTTGGTGATTTCGTTTCTCATTGGAATCGCAGTGTTTACTCTGGGACGGTTGCAGGTGCCCGAGAGGCCTTCTTTAATGGCATACCTTCTGTCTCTATATCATATGACTGGTAGGTAATTACAGTTCTTAGCGAGCATGCTGTTTTCAAGAGAGGACCTTGAAAAAATAGAAAGTAATGTGAGACTGTTGTTACTCAATATGAATTGTAGTTGATGAAAAAACTCAGTTCCATTTCTAAAATGGCGCCTTGTTTTCATCCAATGTTCTTTTGGCTGTTTTATATTTTTTCATTTAGCTTTTTCAATTATAAGCAGAAACTTCCCCTGCCCATCTTGCTGGGGGTTCTAACATATATTCCTGTGCAATTTTGGTTTGGAATTTCAGGGTTGGAGGTCGGAGCAATATTGATGATTTCACACTTGCTGCTGAAGCTTGTGTACCTATCATTAGTGCAATATTGGGCTCAATCAGGAGTAGAACTTATAATATAAGATGCTTTTTAAATATAGATGTGCCAACCAATGTTGCTAACCATAAGGTAAATTAAGAATTACATTGCTAACATGTATTCACTGCATGCTAGATTAGGAGAATAGTCATCATTGTTCCTTTGTTCCTTATCATCTGAAGCTTTAAGAGAAACCCCCTAGCAGAAATAAAGAAACTGCAACTTGGGTTTTGTTTGGCTGCTTTAAAGTGAGAGAAGTTGGTATATATAACCTAAGCATGTGCACCTTCATGCTCATAAGATTCAGTACACATAACCATTGTTGCATTTAACTTCCATGTGAAAATGGCACGAGTTCATTCCTTTACCAATATAGTATAGGACTACATCATGGTTCTAAAGGTTAGTTAATCCTTTAAAACTGATTAATCTCTATCAAAACTCGTCAAATATAAATGTACTTTATAGCTGCTTAGATCTCAATGTACAGTGATGCACATGAGCTTCCACAAATAATTATATTAAATAGGAGTTATCGTTATACCATTTCTAATGAAATTCAAAAATAAGGAGATTGGAAGGAATCAATTAGAATGTTTCAAATGGAGTTCTAGGGAGAATGGAGTTGCGGAAGATAGAGTAGAAATTAGCATGACAAAATAGAAAATCATCAAAGCAAAATGAGTGAATATGCTCAATAAAAAAATTATTCTTCTTCGATAATTTTTTTATTTTATTTTATTCTTACGACAGACATGACAATCGAATTTGGTTCTCAGATTTTTTGAATAGAATGTAATCATTAATTTGGCTCTTAGTTTGGATTGGAATTTTGATTCAATTCAAGAATAAGCCTATATATTTATGGTTCTAAAACCATCAGTTTTAGTGGTCGACTTGTTTCTTTCAAATTGTTTCTCATTATTAAGAAAAGGTAACGAAGATAAGATATGGGCTTATTTTATAGTAATAGTAATTAATTTTTGTTGTTTTAAGGTTAATTTATTCACCCACCTAGATAATATTTTTCCTTATTCACCAATAAATTGACTAATCAACTTGTATAAATAAGATATATCTATGGAAAGATTGCTTGGATTTAGGAAATAGTCGCTTGGATCTATTCATAATTCGTTTATTTTTTATTTCTAAAATTCTACTTGAAGTACAGTTTGCACTTGTTAACTAGAATATTACATCGTCAAATTAGTTAAGATATCTTTTCCTGTATATTCTTTTCTATAATTATGTAATCAATTAAAAATCTCTATTATAATGTTAATTTTCTAATCTGTAGGTAGCATTTCTATATATATAATTCAATTGTAACAACATAAAGTATATCAGAAATAAAGTAAATATTATTTCTCCAAAATATGTAATCCAATTGTAACAACATAAAGTGTATCAGAAATAAAGTAAATATTATTTCTCCAAAAATCTTTATTATATCAGAGCTAAATAGGGTTAATTTAAGATTTTAATTTCAATGTTTTTTTCAAACCCTAAATAGTACAAAAGGTTGAGTCAGTACTCGCCTATCAAGATTTACAATCCCAAACGGAGTTGCTGCCTAACCGTCGGCCTGCTGCCTTGTTCTGATAACCATTTTTCCAAACGCGTGAGCCACATGCATTGCCAGCAGCGGCCTTCTTCCAGCACGTGAGCCACACACACCACTCATTTTACTGAGTCAAACCTCATCCGACGCATTGTATTGCTGCTACATGCCCTGATCTGGCCTATTTTGGCATGATGCGTGTGTCCCCGGTTCGCATTCCGCCGTTTTTTGTCTCTGTCTTCGAGTGGCTGCCGGTCGCGGATGCATTCACCACTGCACAAGACCGTCCTAAGTCGCCACTGTGAGTCACACAGGTTTGTGGACTCTGTTGCGCACAGAAGAACCATCCGGCCTTCTCTGGTCGCGCGGATATGTTTTTGTGCCGCCGGTTCCGCCACTACCGGCCTCCTTTGCCGGCTGACTGCTCTGGTCGCACGAATCTGTCACTGCTGCCACCCCTACCGCCTTCTTCCAACCTAGCCAGCCTTTTCTGGTTGCTGACTGTAAGGACACCAATTTTTCAGCCTAGTTTTGCCTCCATTGGTGCTGGTTAGAAGGTGTATTCTATCTCTATGAGATTAGTTATTTGGTATTATTTTTTTATGTTTCTGGTACTACAAAAAATGATAGAAGCAAAAAAAATAGTTATTCCTAATTCAGATAACCTTTCGTTACAAATCAGTATTGTAAAATTTAATTGAACTAATTATCTTATTTGGTGAAGATCCTGTTTGTTGTTTATCAAAGTCAGAAGATTGCAGGGTTACATAATTGGTGATATAAAGGAACCTAATGTTGTTAGTTTGGACTATAACAGATGAGAATCTGAAAACTCTTTGATAATGTCTTGACTCATCAATTTCATACAATCTCACATTGCTTGATCATATTTATTACTCAATACTGCATTAAAAATATAAAATGTAGTATCTTTTACATATTTACAAGTGGGTAATGATGCTCAGATATTTGAACTCCAAAATAAGATTCATAGCATAAAACAATGAGAGATGATTATTTTTCAATATTTTTTTGAGTTAAGTGGCTTAAGATAGGAATTAAACTATTATCAAGATTTTTAGACAAACTGTACTTGAGATGCAGTCAAATTTCAGAAACTAATAGAGAATGAGCGGATTTATGATTTTTTTAATGGATCTGAACACCTAATATGATTAAATACGGGTGTAGGTGCTTGGTAATAATCTTCTTCCCTCATTACAACAAACTTATGCTTATGTTCAGTAAGAAGAAAATAGAAAAATATCATGCTTCATGCAACACTCATTGAGAAAACTGGATTAGTTGCTCAGTCTGACAAATTCAAAAACCAATAAATTTGTGAATATTATGGCAAACTGAGACACACTAAGAAAACTTAAACTGTATGGTCGACTCACTAAAGGTCGTAGGGGAATGAAAGGTGGACCTAGAAAAGCTCAAGCAAAGTTCACAAATGTGACACTTGACTCACCAACAGTTGAAACTTTTTCAAATGAAGAGATTCAAAACCTGAGTGTTTTCTATCTCACTCAATTCTTCATACATTAGTGCATTAAATATAGTAAAATCAAATATTTCTCCTATCCCTACTATTTCCAATTTTAATATTTGGATTATAAACTATAAATCTAATAGACATATGTCAGATTATTTTAAAGATTTCCTAACCTATGTTTCTTGTACTAAATGGAAAAATATCCGTATAGCTGATGGTTCATGCACTCCTATATTTGAAACAAGTTCCATTAATTATATTTCGACTATTATGCTGTCTTTAGTTTTACATATGCCTAGTTTTCCTAACAGTCTTTTATCTATTAGTGCACTCATTAGAGACCTTAACTATAAAATTAAATTTTTTTTCTGATTAGTGCATTTTTTAGGATTTTCGAATAGGGAAGAGAATTGATACTAGTAGACTCTAAGATGACTTATATGTTTTGAACAGAAGTTAGAATATAGTAAGTTAAGCCACCATTGGGAACATAAAAGTCAATATAAAAATAGTATAATAGTACCGACGATTGGGATATCATTCTTTTTTGTGTTAGAGAAATTATATCCCAAGTTATTTAAAAAAACTTTAATTAATTCTTTATTTTTTGATGCATGTGAACTTATTAAATATAAACAGAGTTTATATCATTTGAGTAATAATGTAAGTTATACTTTTTTTATGACTATCCACTCTAATGTGTGAGACCTACTTATAATATCTCTTTATCTGTTTATAGATAGTTTTTTATTTTTATTAACTGTTGTACTAGATTAATATGAGTTTATGTGTTGAAAACAAAAAATGATGTGGTTTTATACTTCCAATCATTTCATAAAATGATATATACACAGTTCAATGCGCAAGTTAAAGTTATGAAAACTGAGAACAGTACATAATATATGGATGGTAAGTTCCATGCTTACTTGGAGTCTAATAGGATAATTTATTAGACAAGTTAGATATATACTAAAGAGTAAAATAGGGTCGTTGAAAGGAACAATAAACACATACTAGAGGTAATTCGATCACTAATGTTTACCATAAATCTACCAAAAGTTACTGGGGAGATACAATTCTCTCAGCGGTTTATCTTATCAACATAATATTTTTGCAAATTTTTTATTTTAAAAGTCATTTGGAAGTCTTGCAAGGAGAAAAGTCTTATACTCTTCCTTTAAAAGTATTTGAATGTGTTTGTTTTGTCGATGCTAGAAATGTGGATAAGTTGAAATCTAAAGGCTCCGCCTCTCACTGTTTTTTTTTTTGCATGGGAGGCATGCTGGAAGAGGATTTTAACTATTGACAAGTTGAGAATTTGAGGAAGGATGCTGGTTAATGGTTGCTATTACTGTCTAAAAACTAAGGAAACTTGTAATCATCTTTTATTATGGTATCCGATGGCATATATGTTATGGTGCATGATTTATAGTCTTTTGGGAATTGTTTGAGTTATGGTTGGGTCTGTGGAGGGAGAAATTTGGGTTTGGGATGGGTTATATGAAAAAACTAAGATTGTTAGCTTGATCCCTTTGACCGTTTTCTGGCTTATTTGGAAAGAGAGAAATAATAGGATTTTTGATAACGTATAGAGTGGTATCTTTCGTTTAAAAGATAGGTGGTTTCAGTTCTTTGGGTTTATTTTATTAGATCATGATATTATTAGTGATGTGGATTTTAAAAATGTCATTGATACGTTAACACGATTACAAATATTTTATAAATGGGTGATAACCCTTTTTGGTACTCTGTTAATAGATACTATACTTTTTTATCTAAGAAAAAGTGTATATTTGTTAAATACTCCTATACTCAAAGAGTTACAAATGTTGTCATCCACCATTTAAAAAGTACTTTGTGACTATGAATGTTACTTTTAAAGAATCTGAGTCTTACTATAATTTAAACCCAACATTTCTTCAGAGGGAGAGTGAGGAGGAAGAAGTTATGCCTACCTTGGTAACTCTTGACAGTTATATTTAGGGGAAGAATTCTACTTTGAAAGATACTATTCAAAGAGAAAATATCGAACGCTTGAATAGACTAGACTTGAAGAGGTATGCAATAAGAGATGAGACAGAAAAAACCATGTTACAGTTAGATTTAAACCAAGAATTTTCTTCAGTTCCTAAAGATATTGGTGAGTTATTTTTATCTTGTGATTCATCTGATAAACCCATTGCTCTTAGAAAAAGAATTAGAACATGCACTTAGCATCGTATATCTAATTTTGTTTCATATGACGCCTTATCTCTCTCATATAGAGCCTTTATTTTTTCTGTTTTCTCTGTGTTTATTCCTCAGAGAAAACAGAATAAACATGATTGAAGAAATGAAAGATTTGACAAAAAATAAAAAATGGGAACTTATTTCACCTCCACAAAGAAAAAAGATGGTTGGTTGTAAATGGTATTCACTGTAAAACACGGAGCAGACGGGTCGATTAAAATGTACAAAACAAAATTGGTGGCTAAAGAGTTTACTCATATCTATAGAGTTGACTAAAGAGTTTGCACTTGTCACGATGATGGACACGATCAGAATATTATTGTTTTGTACAGCTAACATTGGTATTCACTGTAAAACACAGAGTAGACGGGTCGATTGAAATGTACAAAACAAAATTGGTGGCTAAAGAGTTTACTCATATCTATAGAGTTGACTATTAGGAGATATTTGCACTTGTCACGATGATGGACACGATCAGAATATTACTATTTTGTACAGCTAACATTGATTGAGACTTGCAACAATTTGATGAAAAAATG